CAGTTGGTGATTTGGAAATGTTTTGAACTGTATCTGGGTGGTTATTCATTTATTGTTTCTATTTTCACTTAAGTAGTCATTTGTTTTGGGGCACAATCTCAATGCATATATATGAAAAACTCTACAGTGGGTTAATGTTCACAGGGCATCAAATCAGATGCTAAAGTTGCATCCTTTCCGATTCGCATTTAAACAGATACCGACCGGTCTGTTCGGTTTTTGATCTGCATTGAAGAAAAATGTGATTTATTCACAAGTGTATTTTTCCTCTTCGGTTAAAACCGTAGCCAGTGCTTTATTTTACAAGTCCCATATTTGCATTTAATAATGGAACAAATGAGAAATACAGATTTCCTGCACTCCTATTTAACCAACTAAATACCAGTTAACTGCTGTCCTTGGTGTGCTTTTGTTTTTTCAAATAAAGCACTTATGGTACTGAATCTAGAAAGAGCATTTTTTTTAAATCAATGTCATGAACTTGGGTACTACCTGAAAGCGGAGGTAAATTGATGAGTCAATTACTGTTACTGCCTTCAGGGTGTAACAGTCGGTTATATTAATGATAATTAATAGGCTTGGGGAGCTACTGATTTTTCAGGAAATCAAAACAGGATGTGCAAGACATGGAGGAAGTGAGCTGAGGACTCTATTCAAAGCAGAATATTAATGATGGAATATTAAAAATTGCGGCATCAATGTCTGGCTTGCAGAGAATAGTCCAGAGTGTAGTTACAATTCCTTCTCTCTCTCTCTCTCTCCCCCCCCTCCCCCTCCCCACAAAAAAGCTAAATGCTATCTATAGTTCAGCTATCACAAAGTGATGGGGCACAAATTCTTACTTGCGTTCCTCATGTCAGCTGGATCTTCTTAGGTAGGTGGCAGGCAGTGTTGAAGTCTCTCTCCTGGTGAAAGGACAAGTCAAGCTATGTGACTAATGGTTTGGGAGCTGTATAGCCACAGGCCTGAAAACAGGACACCTGCCTAGCCTCCTGATCAGGGACCTGCCTGAAGGAGAGAGAAATAATTTGGGGAGAGGGAATGGAAGAAAAGAGTTGAGGGAATGTCCTGCTGTACCTACAGTACAGTACTCCAAGACACTACCCCGTGTGAAGGGCGCTATATAAATGCTAGTTAAGGAAAGCCATCGTTCGTTTGAAAGTGTAGTGCACTGGGCAGTGTAGCATCTATTGTCTAGATTAAGTAACAAATAAAAATTGATGTTTCTTTTCAACCGTTGTACCAATGCAATAATACAACTAAAACAAGCTAACTGCAAAAATTGCTGAAATATTGCAACATAATTCATTATTTTCCTACCTTGTTAAGACTAACAAATAATCTTAATACATGCAACAAAACAGAAGTGGCTGGGAACACTCAGCAGGTCAGGCAGCATCTATGGGGAAAGGAAAGTGAGTCAACGTTTTGGGTCCATTACTCTTCGTCAGAACGTGGACCTGAAACATTGACTCACTTTCCTTTCTCCATAGATGCTGCCTGATCTGTAGCTCAGTGGTTAGAGCACTCGCCTTGCAAGCGAGACACCTGGGTTCAATTCCAGGCAGGGCGAAACCTTGGGCAAGTTTCCTTACTCCACACGCCTATAATAATCCCTCCAAAACAAAAAACAATAATAAATTGGTCATTTTCAATCAACGACTGTTTGTGGGACACTGCTGTGCACAATTGGCTGCTGCGTTTCGCCCACAAATATACGTTTGTCAATTCGTTTTACAGCATATTCTGTGAAGCGCTTTGAGACGTCGAGAAGACATGAAAAGCGCTATATCAAATGCAAGGATTATTATTATTATCTGCTGAGTGTTCCCAGTGCCTTCTGTTTTTGTTTCGGATTTCCAGCAACTGCAGTATTTTGCGTTATCTTAATACACGCGTTTGTCGGTGTGACTATATTTTTCTATTAACCATGAAAATGATATTGCACATGAAATGTGAAGAATTTTTCATGTGGGGGAGGGGGGAGTGGGGGGAGTCTATTCTATAATAATAATAATAATCCTTGCATTTGATATAGCGCTTTTTACGTCGGGAGGACGTCCCAAAGTGCTTCACAGAATAGACTGTAAAGTGAATTGACTGTATATTTGTGGGCGAACGCCGCAGCCAATTGTGCACAGCAATGTCCCACAAACAGTCATAGATTGAAAATGACCAATTTATTATTGTTTTTTTGTTTTTTTGGAGGGATTATTATTAGACGTGTGGAGCAAGGAAACTTGCCCAAGGTTTCGCCCTGCCTGGAATTGAACTCAGGTCTCTCACTTGCAAAGCGAGTGCTCTAACCACTGAGCTACAGGACTCCACAATTCTCTATCACTTGCACAATTTCAAAGTCAACACCATTTCCCAAATCCTGCAGATGGAAGCAAATGTTAAAAAGAGGAGATAGATGAGCCTTTGACCACATTTTCCATTTTTTTGGTATAAAAGTCCAGTACATTCCAAGCTATTTTTATGCTGATACAAAATTACATTTGTATGTAATTACCTTTCATGCTGGGAGGACGTCCCAAGCGGCTGGACAGTCAGGGATTTGGACCCGAGCAGAGGCTTGAGATCAAGGAGGGTGGAGGACAGGTTGGGGATAGGAAGGTGGTCGAGGGTGCGGTCGAAGAGTAGGGTCTTGAGACGTCCCTTGAAGGAGGCAAGGGAAGGAGCGAGGCAAAGGAAATGTGGGTGGGGGCAGAGAGGCTGAAGATCCGACCGCCGATGGTGGGGCGGGTGACATAGAGCATGCCGGAGCCTGCTGAGCAGAGGGAGCGGACAGGTTAATATTGGGTTAGTAGGTCACAGTTACTGATGTCCAGTAATTGCATGCTGTAGAGTATGCTTGTTATTTCAGTCACTACACTTATATTTATACTTACACTAACTATACGGTACAGTTGAGTCCTGATCCCTATACAATTAATCCTGTTACAATGATTATATAAGTACAGTTTCCAAGAGCAATCATTCTTTTCTATATCTTTTCTTTGCATTTGCTGTAAAATTGCCAGAATATTTCCCTCTTGTAGACTGAACAACTTACGTAAGACACAGTCTTTCTGCAAAGTGAAACACTTTTTTTTAAAAAAATTTTTAAGCCGGGAGTAAATGGCGAGTGTAAAGTGGAAGAGAATTTGTGTAAATGCGCTTTTTTTCCTTGACCTTGTATTTCCTTGCTTTATTGGCTCGTATTTGGCTCATTTCAACCTCTTGTTCCGTGTCAGGCTTCTGTGCTACTTTGGCTCTGGCCTGTCTCTTCTGTCATTGCACTGAGCTCACCCTTGGCCTTGCTCCTTCGGGCAGCACTGTGTGTGTAATGTCTGCTGTGATTGCTGTGCCTGTAGTAAGGGGCCTCCAGGAGACCCCTGCTGAGGACCTCAACTATCTCTGTGACTTCAATTGTGCCCTCTTTTGATCCTTGCTGTGAGTCGATTGAATTTGTGTCGAGTGCTCTGAACTCTGCCAGTAGAGCCAGCTAAAATGGAGCTGAATCGAGGTCCACATTCATGTGAGCGAGTTTAACAATGTACCAAATACGATTTTTTTGTCAGATTAGCTACTTAGGATGAATCTTGAATAGTGTTGGCTTCAGCAAGAAATGACAGTGCATAGATCACATTAGGTAATGGCTTCATGTCCTTAAGTTGTACAGTTAAATCCACTTCCATGCAATTCAGATATATGCAAGTCTTTAAACTTTGGATTTGCCTCATCTATTTTCATAGCATTCTATCTTATTTTTAATGCAAGTCTCCTGTGTACAAATTCTAGGGATGTGTAAGAAAAGTAAGATTAATATGTTAATTGCAGAATATTGTCTGTTTTATGTATGTAATTTAAACCGAAACTATGAAAATCGAGCTGGGAATATAACTAGCAGTAAATCAAGGTTAACCTTTTATTTTTACATATAAAGTCTCTGAAATACAGTAACTTCTCTTCATCTTGTATGCATTATCTTTTTTTTTAAAAAATCCCAAGCTGTTCTGTCTAAATGATTTCACTCTTTACTACCAATGTATATGAGTACTGGTTTCAAGATATAAAGAAAGAAAGAGAGAAAGATAAAGAAAAGAGTGAGAAAGAAAGAAAGAAAGAAAGAAAGAAAGAAAGAAAGAAAGAAAGAAAGAAAGAAAGAAAGAAAGAAAGAAAGAAAGAAAGAAAGAAAGAAAGAAAGAAAGAAAGAAAGAAAGAAAGAAAGAAAGAAAAGCGGAGTGAGCGAGGAAGAGAGAAAGAAAAATTGATGGAAATGGTCATAATATATCACATAATGCACGTTCAAAGATACAAAGGTTGAGAACATTTGCTGGATCACTTTGAGCAGTATTTATAGAAAAACAAGTTTGAAAGACAGAAAGTTTGAAAACTGCAAGTTTGACAACTTGTACCACAATTACATGAATACGTGGAGTTACTTTACGAGTCATTCTGGGATCCTGGGCACATGCAATATTGCAAACCTTTGTAATTGCAATAGGACTTGAGAGAAGAAAAAGCTGGCATTGCAGTGATTTCTGGTTAACAGGACACCATTTGCTCAGATGAAGCACAGGAGAAATTGAATGTTGCCTGGATCATGCTCATATTCATTGTACTGCACAATGATCCTGGTGCTATTTATTTCAGGAAAGAGAAGAGAGAAGTAAAAAAAATTGCTAAATTTACCTTGTAGTGCAGATCATGTTGGATTTGCTCCACTGTAAACTTAGCTGAATGAAATGAGATATTAAATCTTCTCAGCCTTGCTGTTAACTACAACTGATCTTCTCGATTACTTTTCATAGCACTTTTCATTTCAAATGTTTAGCGGTAAATGTACTGTATTTCTGGTGAGGATCATTCCTCAGTGGAACATATTTCATACTGATGTGATCTTTTTTCTTGACGTTGTACTTTTCTTTTTGTTTCCTCCCCCCTCCCTTCTCAATATCAATATCTTCCACCCTCCTGTACGTGGGACAACTTTCACTTTTGGGACACTTTGGAAGATGGTTGTGTGCACTGCATTCTTGCCTGCCTGTTTTGTGAGTTCATCACCTTCTGCAACATTATCCTAGGACAAGCTTCTTGTGGCATCTGTACTCCTGAAAACTGCTGTTGCTGCTGTGGGGCAGAAGACCTTGGGGATGACTGCAATTGCCCCTGTGACTTGGACTGTGGCATAATGGATGCCTGCTGCGAGTCCTCGGACTGCTTGGAAATCTGCATGGAGTGTTGCGGGATTTGCTTTCCATCGTGATCATTTTTTTTAAAAAAAGGAACAGGACTTTTACTGAAAAAAAACTGGAGATGCTGCCCTTTCTTCTGCCGAAATTCAGAAGCATTATAAACATAGCTCTACTCAACGGTGTCGAGATTTTAAACCAAAGCAACTGCACACTTTTTAACTTTTGAATACTTTCCTTTTTTGCAAAACAGAAAGAGTCACTGTGGGGAAACTGATTTCATCTCGGGAACTGAACTGTGCCTTTTATCATTTTGCCTTCTGAAAATTCGCAGTCCAATTTGTTTTGTAACTGGTGTTGGAATTCCAAAGCTTGCAAATATGGCTTTATTATTCTGTGCAGACCAAGTTTCTTTTGTTGTATAACTTTTTTTAAAAATGAGTATATTTTCTTTTACAAAAGCAAAATTGGATGATACGCTAAAACCCACATTTTACAGTCGAGTTTCGTAAACTTTTCTCTTGTTCTTTGTTCTGAAATCAAATAGGGGAAATTACCTTGCTTTCTATCAACTCAAGCCTGCTTCATGTTGTTTCCTTTGCTCTGGCCCACCATTGGTAGCTAGCTTTCAGCCAGTTTTCTCATGCCCTCTGACTCTTTCCAAATCCCCCCACTTCACCCCCTTTCCCTCTTGACTTACAAAACCCATCTTAAAAACTTATCACTTTTGACTGCGCCTTCAGCCACTCCCCCCTACACCCTCCCTCACATACACACACACACGCAAACACACCCTAATCTCCTGTCTTGCTTGCGCTACCCCTTAGTATTTGAAAAGCGCTTTTTTGATGTTGTAATGTTGTATTGCAAATGCTGTATTAGGTTATTAGTACAATTAGTACAATAACAAATTGCAGTTATATAGTGACTTTCATGTCGGGAGGACATCTCAACACGCACGTTTACTGTAAACTACTGTTAAGTGTATTTGGAATCTTAGGAACTATTTCTTTGTTGTGTTCCAAACATAGGGACAAATATTTCATCTCTGCTTTGCCCCCAACTATCCCCTTTCCCATATTTTGCTGCAAACTGAAAACCCACTCAAGCATTTCTGCATGGGGAAAGTGGGAGGTGCTTTCAATATTCTCATTTATCTCATTAATTTAAAAACTTTAAAATCTTTATTTTTGCTTCCAAAAATAGTGCATTATCTGGTTGTAAACAACTTATTGTGTGAAGGTGTCAATGAATTGAACGATGAATTGAACAAAGGTGTTGAGGCAATACAGTACATACTAAGGTTATGATTCTTACTTTGTAGGTCAGGTTTGTGTTCTTAAAATTGTTTGTACTTCCGTTTTGATCAAAGTTAGCCAAAGCAGTCATTTCATATATATATGTGTGTGTGAGTGTCTGTACTTGAGAGTGAGCTTTAATAACTTTCTCTATTTTTACAGGCTAGAGCACTGGTCTATGCCATGTACTAAACCAATCAACACTAAATAAAAATAAAAGCGATTAGAATCCATTTGTGTTTTGCTGAAGATCGTGCGATGTACTTGAATCAAATTCTGTTCGTTGCTTCCTGGTCACTTTGAAGATCATTTTTCCATTGTTCGCAAGGCAGTTGCACACTGGAATCTCACTCGATATAGTCAGTTGGAAGCTACACAGCCACAGTTGAGTCTTCCAATGTAAATTTTGTGACCCTCTGCAGATTATATTCTGATGAGGCGCAAGTATAACTGAAAACTGTGCATGTCTGTGATCAAGGCAGCTTGGCTAGACAAACAGAATTTTATTTGTTCAAGCTGTTGATGCTTGATGGGGGGATGGGTGTAGATTATGAATAACAAAACAGTGTGCTGCAAGAAATTAGTTACGTGAATTTGATTTAGGGGCTTAACTGCTCACAGTGCATGTAAAAGAAACGCAAGGCTTTCACACTGGCACTGCTTTGTGCATGAAATTTGAATTTGTTCCCAACAACTAGTTTTACGTGTGAAAATTACTGCGATGTGTGAAAAGAGAAGGAAGCAAGAGATTCAGTATTGTTTGCTTTAACCTGTATTTATATGAAAATTATGACCCCAGCATGAATTCGAAGGGGGAAAGAAAAATCCAGAGTTTTGCACATCGCATTGGTAATGTAATGAGTGGTTTTACAGCTTAGGTGGCCTTCATCATACCATTTAAAAATTAAGAGTGAGGACATGCTGCAAAATAAAACTTATATGATAATATGGAATGTATTGTTTCCTCTTACAACCTGCGCCTCCAAAATTCTATCCAAATATTACTGCTAGAAATGGGAAAAGGGAATGTACTAGGCATCAGCTGGGCTCAGTTGGTTGCATTCAATAGTAATAACAACTCTCCATGCAATAACAACAAATTACATTTGTATAGTGCCTTTCACGTAGGGAGGACATCCCAAGCTGCTGGACAGTCAGAGATTTGGACCTGAGCAAGGGGTTGGGATCGAGGGAGAGGAGGGTAGGGGTAGGAGGGTGACCAAAGGCACTGTCTTAAGAGGAGTGTCTTGAGACGTTCAAGAAGGCAAGGGAGGGAGCCAGGCGAAGGGAGTTCCAAAGGATGGGGGCAGAGAGCCTGAAGGCCTGAGTGCAGATAGTAGCCGGGCTGGGTGGGGGACGTGGAGCTGGCTGGAGCCTGCTGAATGTAGGGAGTGCACCGGCCGATGTGGGATTAGCAGGTCACAGAGGTAGGAAGAAGCAAGGCTGTTGAAGGCTTTGAAGGTGAGGACGAAGATTTTCAACTGTATCATCTGAGGAGCCAGTGGAGCCAGGCAAGGGTGGGTTGATAAGGTCACGGAGATTGGTGCGGAAGTGGACATGTGCTACAGAGTTCTGGATGATCTTCAGCCTGTGGAGGGAAGAGTTGGTAAGACCAACAAGCAGGGGGTTGGCATAGTCGAGGATAGATGTAATGCATGCGTGGATGAGGGTTTCGCTGGCCTGAGGGGAGAGGCAGTGGTAGAACCGGTCGATGTTGCGGAGTTAGGGGAAAGCAGAGCAGGTCACGGCGCGAATAGATTTTCGAAGTCGCAGGATGTAAGGACAGTTAAGGGTCAAGCAACAATAACAAAATTACATTTGTATAGTGCCTTTCACATCAGGAGGACGTCCCAAGGCGCTGGAGAGACAGGGTTACTTACCCGAGCTGAGGGTCGGGTGGGGGGGAGGGCAGGGGGGAAGCAGGGAGATCGAAAGCACGGTCGAAGAGGAGGGTCTTGAGGTGGGTCTTAAAAGTGGCGAGGGAGGGGGCGAGACTGAGGGACTGCGGGATGGAGTTTGGGTGGGTACAGATCTTGAACTGTGTGATAGGAAGCCAGTTGGGCAAGGATGGGGGTGATAGGGTCGCGGAGCCTAGTGCGGGAGAGGACACCAGCTGCAGAGTTCTGGATGATCTCCAGCCTGTGGAGGGAGGAGTTGGGGAGGCCGACAAGCAGTGAGTTTGCATAGTCGAGCCTCGATGTAATGAAGCAAGACACCAAAGTTCCAGACTGGCCGAGCAAGGTGGATTGTGCATCCTTGAATGGTGATGCTGCCAGTGTCTTACGTTCAGCTGGATAAAGTTAGCTCTCATCCAGGACAATGTCTGACAGACAATCTGTCAGGACAGCAGTGGTCCTGGAGTCAAGGGTGGAGGCAGAGAGATCCAGATGGGTGTCATCCGCATACATGTGGAAGTTGACCCCATACCTGCGGATGATTACACCAAGAGGGATCATGTACAGGTGAAGAGGAGAGGATCAAGGAAAGAGCCCTGAGGAACGCTGGACGAGATGGTGCGGGGACTGACGGAGAAGACGTTTGTGGAGACAAAGTGGAGACGGTGTGAAAGGTAGGATCTGAACCAGTCAAGGACAAGGACCATGAAGGTTGAAGCGAGAGGAGAAGCGGTGGAGGAAGGTAGAGTGGTCAACGGTGTCGAAGGCAACAAAGAGGTCAAGGAGGACAAAGAGACAGAGGGAGCCCTGGTCACAGATGGACAAAATGTCATTTGTCACTTTGGCCAAGGCTGTTTCTGTGCTCTGGGCGGCAAGGATACCTGCTTGGAGGAGTTCTTAGGAGGAGTGGTGGGAGAGAACGAGCAAAGCTGGTAAGCAGCGACTCAATCCAGGACCTTGGAAAGGAAAGGGCGGTTGGAGTTGGGGTGGTAATTTGAGAGCAGAGATGGGTTCAGGGAAGGTTTTTTGAGGATAGGGGTGATGATGGCTGTTTTAAGGGGGTGGGAACAGTGCCAGTGGGTCGAAGGAATAGGTGGTGGGTTTCAAATGGGTCGTAATGGTGGTGAGAGAGGAGGGGTAGGCAAGTTTGAAAGTGTGGTGGGAGGGATGGGTAGGGGCCGGAATGCATTTAGTATAGCACCTAAAGCATCATGAACTCTCAGTCAGAAGATTGTGGGTTCAACAACAACAACAACAACAAGATTCCATTTATAGAGCGCCTTTCACGTCCCAAGGCGCTGCACAGTTGGGTCATGACCCGAGCAGGGGGGAAATGGTCAGGGTGAGGGGAGGGAAGGGAGGGAGAGAGGAGGGAGGAAATGGTCAGGGTGAGGGGAGGGAAGGGAGGGAGCGAGGAGGAGGAAGAGAGTCGAGAGGGGAGCTGAAGGCACGGTCAAAGAGAAAGGTTTTGAGACCGGCCTTGAAGGAGGAAAGGGAGGAAGCAAGGCGAAGGCACTGGGGGATGGAGTTCCAGAGCCTGGGGGCTGAGAGGCTGAAGGCCCGGCCACCGATGGTAGGGCGGTTGGGACGGGGGACGTGGAGCAGACCGGAGCCAGAGGAACGGAGGGTACGGGCAGGTAGGTAGGGGGATAGTAGGTTGGAGAGGTAGGAGGGAGCAAGGCCGTGAATGGCCTTGTAGGTGAGGATGAGGATCTTGAAATCAATCCTCTGGGGGATGGGGAGCCAGTGGAGGCGAGCGAGGGTGGGAGTGATGTGATCGCGAAGCCTGGTGCGGGACAGTACACGAATGGCCCCACTTGGGGCATTGAGCTCATAAGCTACGCTGACACTGCAGCTCATTGCTGGGGGGAGCCTTGAATTGTTGGAAGAGCCTTCCTTCAGTTGAGATGTTAAACCATAGTCCTATAACTTCGGAGGTGTTTGTAGGAGATTGATGTACACAAATTGGCTGCTGAGCTCATCTATACATGCAAAGTAACCTCCTTGAGAGGGAGATACATGAAGTGTTCTTAGGGTTGTGCTGGCTCCTGGATGATGTGCTTAGCAATGGAAAATTGGAATTGAGTCAACCTTCTGTGATGGTCTTATTAGACTGGTGTCTGAGCCATTCCAGATCCAAGGGAATTTCCATGCGTAGATGGCATGCGTGTGTAGAACTCAGCCTGGTTTGGATACTCTTGATACTCTTAGGCATACTAATAGGACACTCGGGTATTCAAATATATGTGTGTATATAGTTACACACATACATATATATGTACAGTCACTCACTTTACAAAAACGTTGAGAGGTTCATGATGCTAAAGGCACTGTACAAAATGCAAGGATAGTTATTGCTATTGAATGAATTTGTTACTCATTTTGTGAGTGGATTTTGCAATTTGTCATGGTTTATGAAAATGTTCCTTGCACAGTCATTAATCTCTGTTTTTCTTAAAAAAAACCTTCAAGCTGCTGGATCCATAAAAGTGTTGCCATGCTTGGGTTTGAAAGTGTTTCAGAAATCCAACATTGAATTTGCAGTGGAATCCTCGTTAGATTTGTTTTTTAAACCCTGAGACTGCCAGATCAGAGTGCAGTGGATTCAGAGGGAGTGTTCCCAACAGAATTGCAGCAAACCACACTTTCCATTTGCAATGGATTCATTATTAGGTTGGTATTTAAATCCTGAGAGTGTAAGATTGCAACATAATGAATTTCGATGGACTGCTCCCCAGTTGTGAAATTATCCTGTGTACACAGCTGCGAAACGTGTCAGAATGCACAGCTTAACTACAATTTATATTTATACAGCGCCTTTCACATCAGGAGGACGTCTCAAAGCGCTTGTCATTGCTGGCTGGGCTTCTGAGCTGGGGTGGAGAGGAGGAAGTTGATCGAAACCGTAATAAAAAAGAGGTACATTCTGAGACCAGCCCTGAATGAAGGAAGGGAGAGAATGAGTCGGAGGAATGCTGGGATGGAGTTCCAGAGAGAGGGAGGCAGAAAAGCTGAAAGCAAGGCAGTAAAATATAGCGACATTTAAAATCAGCTCAACATCAAAAACATGAAATTTATTTTTCAGTTAGCAATGTAGGAGTGACAAAATAATAAAAAAAACTCACTCAAACATGTTATTTTGAGGTTCAAATGAATTGTTTGACATTCATGTCTATTTCAGAAAGTTTTATATTACAAGTTGTCAGCAGGGTACATTTCGCAATGAGTCTTATCTGGTGTCGTACCCAATTAATCTATTCCAGGAGCACCTCCATTAAGATTCCCAGTTGTGAGCTGGTTCGAAATGCCTAATGGGGATTACAACCTCAAGACTTTAA